CAAACTATCCCCAGTACCCTACCGGGGTCATTCCCATGCACCAGCATAGCAGAGAGTATTTACCATGGAAAAAGGGGAAATTACTTGAAAGGACTGTGCTGTAGAGCAGGAGCCCTATGAAAACCATGACAGGCTAATTGGATATGGCTTATGTGCAAGGCAGCAAGGGCTCGATGGCAGCAAGAGAAATCAATAAAAGAAGAGAGAGGAAATGGGGAGGAGAAACCTTTCACATTTTTGCAGTGAAATATCCCTTCATCTGACTGCCTGTAACTTACTTTTCATCACCCCTGATGTGATCTGCAGTTGGAGATTTCTCTCAGCTATAAACACAGTGAGGGGCTGGGTGTTTTTTTCTCATCTTTGTTGCTCGTGGAAGAAAATAAGGCAAAACAAAACAGAACTTTGTAACTGTTCAAACCTCTTTATGCAGCAGGATCCTTATCTAACGTCTGGACCTCAGAGTCCCAGGGCAAACCTCACCCTGAGTGTGGTTTTTATTGTTCTGGTTTGTTTTCTTCCAGTTCAAAGAAAAGGTTAAGCCCCAAAAAGAGAAGTGTGTCCTTGGTCAGGAGTCTGTAAGCTCTCTGAGTCACACTTTACCGAAAGCCTCCCAAGTGCATTCAAGTCAGTGCATGTGGTCATCGCTCAAGGACAGCTCCTTATCCTTGCTACCCTGTCCCTAGGGAGGTTAGAAAAGGTACTAATTATTAGGATAATGATGAGGAGTTCTTGATATGAAAAAACCAACAACATTGAAACAGCACTTGTGGAGAGCACACAGACCAGACCAGAACTCACTGGCTGAAAAAGAAATTGAGAAAGAAAAAGATACATGAAAAGGGAATAAATACATATTTTTTGCCTTTGAATTATGTAGTGCTTTTCATGCCATTAATATGCCATGGTGGTGATATGAGTAACTATTGATGCAGGTTTGATTCTCCAGTGGCACATTCAAATGTCCTGGTTTATATTCATGGAATCGTGGAATTGCAGAGTGGTTTGGGTTGGAAGGGAATTTGAAGAACATCTAGACCCAACCCCCAATTTTCTCCTCAAATATTCTGTATTCTTTAGCAGAGACCAAGGTCCCAACTTGTTCTGCAAGGTCAAAGTTGTGCTCAAAACACTCAAACCAACCCAAAATTTCCATTTCTCCAGAGTCTTATCTAAAGGGCAGGCATGTCAAGGCTTCAGTCCAGTGTGTAGTGGGAAAGAGGAGGATTTTGCAAATAGGTAAATTGAGGATTGGAGTGGAGCAGTGATTATTCAAACACCACATGGTGGGTCAGCAGCAGAACACAGCCCAAATTACAGAAATCCTTATTCCTTTCTGCCACCTTTCATGTTAATTGTTCACCCTTTAGTCATGGTCCTGAGTTTCTCTCCCCTAAAAAGCATTACCAGAAAATCTAGGCCACCATCACTGAGATTTAATTCTTCTGTCTATGCAGAGACTTCAATCTTCATAAACTGCATTTTTAGGCAACCAGCATTACTGGCTATTGAGGGCAGCAAAGTTAATCTTACTGAACACAGACTTCTCTAAATGAGGCTGACCTGAAATATCTCAGTAATATCCATAAGCCATAGGGGGAATAAAGCTGGGATATGCTAAAGAACAACCTGAGACTGTATGATGATGATGATGATACTATGGCCTTCCAAAACCAAGCTGAAAATACTCAGAGTCCAAGAGGGTCGTGAAACAGGCACACTGGGCTCTTTCTTTAAATTACACCACTCATAGAAATAATGCAGTTTTACATTAAACATTTACATTTACATTTACATTAAACTGTGAGAAACATCTTCAGTGAGAAACATCTAGAAAAGTCCAGCTGACTTCTTTGAGGCACATTATTCCCCTGAATGCTAAATGTAGTTTCTAACAGCAGATTTGACCTCAGCCATGCTCCAATAATTAGCCTATAGCATGATCTTTGTTAATAAAAGTTAATTGAAACCAAAACTCATCCCTTAGGATTTTCAATCAATGAACACACACACACACACACACACACACACACACAAAGCTACACTAAAAACCACTGGAAAATCCAGCTTCACAGAGAACGGGACAATGGAAAGAAAAGCCCTGACTAAAAATAGTGCAAGTCTTTTTGTCCCTGGGCAGGAAATGTCGGCACCACCAATTCCAGGGCTGAATAACGCTTTGTCTTTGTGAACGTTATTCAGCGGGATGCAAAAGTAAATCAACAGCCAATTCTGCTGAGGAAAGTAAACATTTGCAGATGGGAAAATTGAGGCAAAGAGGTATTAGGGGACTTGCTCGAGGTGAAGAAAAGAAGTTGCTCATGATTATTGGTCATCTGTTCTGGTGGGACAGAAAGTCCTCAGCTGGAAATGCCAAATTTCACTGTCCAGAGCAAGAGTTTAGTATATGTAAACCCAATAAATGAAAATGGAATTGTCCCATGTTTTTGTTCCTCAGAACTATTAGAAGATGCAGGTCTTGGTCAGCATTCTGAGGACCTGCTTGCTGGGCTTTTTGCTGCAAATCCAGATTTTTTTTCACTTTTCTTTGCTCGTGACTTTACCTGGTATCTCCCCTTCATAGGACTGAGAGAAAACAAGAAATAATCTCACAGTTTAATTACAATTATTTTAGATGAGGAAACAGGCAGTGCTATCAGGCCCATGGAATGATCCCAGCACTATCACAAGTTCAGTGCTTCAAGATCTGACTTATTCTAGCCAAGTTTGTTCTGGATCTGACTGAAAAAAAATAAAACACATACAAATTCTCCTCTTCAGCTTCTGTATTTCAAGCTGCTCCACTGTTTTTTATACAGAAAAACTTTCTGCAAGTCAAGGGATTAATCTGGCAAAGCAGAGAATGTTCCTGGTCTGTCCAGCAATGCGTGTGCTCAACTAGGAATATGAGAAATATCTCATTAGATTGGAGGTGGTCTGACCAAAGCAAGGAATTGTAAATCCTTAAAAATTGTTTTTTTCCAATAATCACTGGCCACTGTGTATTATAAGTCTTTGTTTTTATGTTATTTTTCTGAGGAATTAAGTAATTCCTTAGGTGTTTTCATCCCTCATCAAAACTTTTGAAGCAGTTGATCTCTTTCAGATACATTAAGGGACAGAGTTCTTAAGTATAATAATTTCCTGTGAATTTTGGAAAAATAAATAGAAGGGAGGCAGCAGGCCAGTATGTCTGTAGTCTGTGCACAACTTACGAAAGCAGAACATTTACTGGCGTCATAGAATTGTTCACATTATTCCATCAGGAGTTATTCAGAATGTGAATACCCCAATCACCAGGAAAATTTTGCTTCAGAGTTTATACTGTATTAAACCTTGAGACACAAAGCAAGAAACCAAGCTCATAGAAATGTCTTCATTTTTTTTTTAATGTTTGATGTCCTTATGGATGTTTTTGAGCCACCTTTAAATTCAATTTCTGATTTTTTTAAACCAAGTAAAGTTCCTGGCAGATTTTTTTGGGCACTTTAAATATTCAGTCTTCTGGAAAGATTTATATTTTACTTTTCTGATCACAGGGTAAATACAGCAGAAATTAAATAGTCATCATATAATTCAATCCCATCTGTGAAAACCTAACAAAAGAGCCTTTTCCTTTAACAGAAATAAGAGTGACTGTCATGTTGTAATAGCTTAAAATACATTGGAGATAATGTGTTTAAAGAATTAGAAAGATGTGTTCTAATGACCAGTGATGGCTCTAAGGTATTGCAAGAGCTTGGTTCAAAGACCCTTGAAAGGAATAACAGTCCTTCTGCTGACATTATTAATCTTTGAATCTGGCTCATTAATAAATTGCAGATATTATATCCCCAGCTGCCAAAAAGCTGAAAAAACCCGAGAATCTAGTCATAAAAATAGACATCAAGTGAATTTCTCTTCTGGGAATTAAAATAGAAGCAAAGTGTTTCTACTACTGCTGTCTAGTGCTTTATTATAGATATTTTCTTACAGTTTTTAAAGGAATTAACAGGGCAAGCAGTTCATCTCATGCAGAAGTCTGCCTCCAGCAAGGGCCAGTATCTAATGCCAAAGAGACTGGGAAAGGCTCGAGTTGCTGTAATAGTTTTCACTCCGACGCTGTAAATCAGTCCTTTCCGGGATGTGCTGTGCTGATGGAGAGGAGGAAGGGTGGGAGGGAAAACAGAGATATCCAGGCAAGACTTTCTCATCTTTAGCTCCTCTGTGATTAATTACAGATCGATACTTCGTACTCACCGGCTTTTATCGCTCATTAACATCAAACGGTGTCAGGGTATAAATTTGTTAAATGAACAAATGAACTGGGGGACGTTACAAGAACTGGGGGATGGCGGGGAGCAAACACCCGCAAACGTTCACTCGAGGGATATAAATGAAACACGACTGAGCTGAGCAGTTTGAACTCTGGGTGGGAAAATAATGCTTAGGGATCTTTACATGTGGATCTCAAAGCACCGTCCAAACACACGCAGGCATGTGCACACACATGTAAGAGAAGGAGAGGGCGAGGAGAGGGATAGTGAGTGTCGCTCTGGTCCTGTGTGGGGCTTGGGAAGGCGGCAGAGCACAGAGCCAGGAGCTTATTTTTTCCCAGCCCTTGGGATGATTTCAGGTTGCCCACCCAGCCAGCGTTAGCAAAGGAATAATAAGGGAGGAGAAAGCCTTGGCGGCCCGCAGCCCCGGCTCCCGAGAGCCCCGTTCTGCCCCTTTAAACAACCCATCGAGCCGCGACGCTGCCGCTCGCCCCGCCGAGCCCCCAGGGGTGCAGTTAAAGAAAACGGGCATCTGTCTCTTTAAAGCGTGATTTCCTCCCATTGTATTTGAACCGCGATCAGGAAAAAGGAAATGAAAGCAGAGCCCCGGGGGCCGAACCGCGCAGTAATAACCCCGCGGGGCTGCGGGTCCCGCCGCCCGCAGCGAGCGCCGGGCGCGGAGCAGCCGCGGTGGCGGCCGCGGCCACCGCCCCCCGCCCGCGGGAGCGGGAGCGGGATCGGGAGCGGCCCCGCCGGCCGGGGCGCGGGGGGAGCGCGGCGGGGATGGGAGGTCAGAGCTGCGGGCGGGGGCAGTGCGGGGATGGGGGTGGAGGGGGGAGAGGAGGGAGGTGCGGGGCCGGAGCGCAGCCCCAGCGCCTGTTTGTGTCTGTGTGTCGGTGCTGCAGGAGGAAATCCTGTGAATGTCATCGCGGGCCGGCGAGGGAGCGCGGCTGGAGACAAGGCTCCGCGGGCAGACACCCTGTGCGCGGCCGGCGGGGGCAGAGCCCACCACCGGCACGCCACAAAGGAACCGGCCCTGCCAATGTCATCGGCCATCGAGAGGAAAAGCCTCGATCCTTCCGAGTAAGTGGCCGCTTTTTCTGACCGGTCCTCCCCCCTCTCCATCTCCGCTGCCGATCCTTCCTCAAGAGGCTCCCGGTGCCACCCCGTCCTCCCCGACGGAGCCGCCACTGGCATTGTGTGCCCGGCAGCCCCCCAGGGCTTCGGCACCAGCCCTCGCTCCTCGCTGCCCCCGCACTGGAACCGCACCGGGATGCCCGGCCCGCGGGGCTGGCGGTGGGGAAAGCCCCCCAAGTTGTGGGAAGGAGCAGCCGGGAGCAGACAGACGCACCCCCCACCCCGGGCAGGGAATGTCCCACCCGCTCATCCCACCCCGGAGTGCTGGAGATGCCGCGCTGGCGACACCGAGCACCGGCGGCCGGGATGCCCCGACCCGCGGGGCTCACGATCTGGGGGAGGTTGGGAAGAGCCCCCCGAGCAGTTGGGAGCAGCCGGGAGCAGGCAAACGCACCCTCCCCCCCGGCCCCGGGCAGGGAATCTCCCACCCGCTCATCCCACCCCGCGGTGCTGGGGATGCTCGGAGGAGCCGCATCGGGGACACCGGGCACCGCGCTCAGGCTGCCCCGACCCGCGAGGCTGGCGGCGTGGGGGAGGTTGAGGAGAGCCCCCCGAGTTGTGGGAAAGAGCAGCAGCGACAGCAGAGAGGCGCAACACACACACACACACGCACACACCCGCCAGGCACCACTCATCCCACTCCGGGGTGCTGGGGATGCTAGGAGAGAGGGAGAGAGGGAGAGCATCCTGCTTCCCAAGCCTGAAGGTTTTTCAGGGAGGGAAGCCTCCCTGCCCCATCCCTAGGGACCCCCTGTGCCCCATCCCTGGTCTGCCCAGCTCGCTGCAGCCCATCAGTGGAAGGTCGGGGCTGTTTTATCTGCGGGTGCCCAACTTCCACGTTTTCATAATGCAACTTTCAAGAGCTCGTAGAAGCTGCTTTGGTGGGGGCTGGGTGTTCTGCTAAGGGCATGGAGAGAGACTTGATGGCCGGGATGTAGGAGTTGAGAATTTCCCTCGCAGGGTTTCCCACTCAGAGAAGGGACTGGCTCCTGTACCCCGATCCAGGCTTTTGGGCTGTGCTCCTGCTGTCCCGTCCCCCCTGCACAACCAGGGATGGGAGCTCAGCACAGACCCAGGGTCACTTCAGCCCTGCACATGCTAATAACTGCGCTTAGGCTTGTTTGGAATCATGATAAGAGGGAAGAAAAAAAAAAAGAATTATAAAATCTTCATTTGCAGATAACGCTTTGAACATCGCTCAGAGTAAATTGAGTCATTCATGGTTTGTTTCCTGTGAGATACTAAAAATGCCATTACTTGGAGCCCAGAGTGAACACATGGGAACTGCTGCTTTTGGGGATTAAATCACTTCACTCCATGTCACATCTGATGTTTTACATGTTACATTTTCTCTTCTTTTATGCTGATTTTTAAGAAATGCTAATCCAAGCTCCTAATGATGTCCAGCTTTCAACTACAAAGTTTTTAAATCTTTATTTATTTACCTGTCTTGTGTTCTAGTGACTTAAGTGCTGGCTTAGGAATCTATGGACATCAAAAAGCTTAATATGTAAACCAGGAATGCTGTTCTGCATAAACATCCGTTGGGCTGTTCTGGAGTTTAGGGCTGTCCAAGAAACCTGGCTTGGGATTCCCAAACACCCCTCAGATGGAATATTTTGGGATGCATCTGAAGTTTCAAATAAAGAATAATAAAGGATAATGATGTGTGTTTCCTATTGGAAGGCTCTCAGGAGTTGCCAGAATGGAGCCCACACATTAGGAAAGGCAGTAATGGAGCCCAAAAGGATAAATTTGGAAAAACCAGGGCCTAATCATGAGTTCCCCATGATTTTTAATGAAAACTCACAGAATAGAGAGTTGGCAGGAGAGGGATATTACCACACAACTTGCAGGGCACAGCAGTTTAAACTTAGAAGAGTGAAAACCAGAGCAGAATATAACCAGATAATATCTCAGGGCTCAGCTTGCCTAAATAAAAACTGCAGGATCACTTTCTCAGCTTAGAAGTTCTTGATCAGAGGTCATTCCTCCCTGCTGAAGAAAGTCATTTTTGCCCAGAAAACTGCTGATCCAGTAAATAAGCAGGAGTAATATAATTTTTTCCTGTTGCCTGTTGGAAACTGTGAGCAGCCAGCTCCTTCTCCATCAGTGTAGGTCTCCTCTGCCCCCACCAGCCCAAGGGAGGACGGACCAGTGACAAACAAATTGCTGAGGGACTCTGTGTTAGAGCAAGAAACCAATAACATGGAAAAATTTGGGGGTCCCCTCTAGTTCCCACAGGTTTGAAATTAAGCAAGTGCTTAGAGGATGGATCTGATAGACTTTTAGTGACTTCCATGGGGTTTGAGTGAAGCCAAAACCTTACAGAACTGAGCTCAGGCACCTCCCTTTGAATTTTTTTGCTGTTCTTTTTTTTTCCTTCTCTTAACTTGTAAAATTACCCAAAAAGACAAAGAAGAGAATCCCTTAAGAAAATAGTTTTGAAGAAAATTCTTGCTTTATCCCCAGGTATTACCAGAACCATCTCAGATTTCAGAGCTTTTTAAAAAAGCAACAGCATAAGGTGCTGCATAGTCAATGCTAACATCACAATAAAGATTTGTGTGTCTAATGTATAATTCCAAGTAATTGCTTGAGTATAGAGACCCATCCCAGTGGATTCATGTCCTTGGCTAAGGCAAAAAAGAAGTCCTGCACTAACATGAGGTAAAATTCTGGCTCTGTTAAAACCAGCAGTGAATCTCAAACCAGTTCGGCACTGGTCTCATCTGTTGCATTTATTCATTTCATGCTGTTCAGGGAAATGACATCCTCAGACTCAGTCTTCAAATTTACATTTCCCAATGGAAAGTGTAAAATCCCTCAGGTGCCTTTTTTAGTCCTTTAGCCCTTGGTGAGATGGAATAAAAACAAGGATATAATCCCTATTCCAACGTGTTTTATTTTGCTTTTCCTTCTCCTCACACAGATGCTTTCAGATCAGAGTTGATTTTCCAACTCCAATGATTCTCTCATTCCCTCAGGGAGCCAGTGGATGAAGTCCTCCAGATCCCCCCTTCTCTGCTGACATGTGGAGGGTGCCAGCAGAACATTGGGGACCGGTATTTCCTGAAGGCCATCGACCAGTACTGGCACGAGGACTGTCTGAGCTGCGACCTCTGTGGCTGCAGGCTCGGCGAGGTTGGGAGACGCCTCTACTACAAACTGGGCAGAAAACTCTGCAGGAGGGACTATCTCAGGTACACAACCCACTCCTCACACCCTCAGCCCTCTCCTTCACATTTCAGCTTTGCTTGTTCATTTAGTGAGTACAGCGAGGAATAAGGAATTGATTTTTAATTGCTCTTAAGGCCCGACAGCAGCCGGGGGTGTGACACAGCTCGAGTTTGAGATGTGGACTCGTACCATACTTGTAGAATCCCAGAACGGTTGGGGTTGGAAGGGATCTTAAAGATCATCTCGTTCCAACCCCCTGCCACGAGCAGGGACACCTTCCACTAGACCAGGTTGCTCCAAGCCCCGTCCAGAACTTCCAGGGATGGGGCAGGCACAGCTTCTCTGGGCATCCTGTGCCAGGGCCTCACCACCCTCACAGGGAAGAATTCCTTGCCAATATTTAATCTAAACCCACCCTCTGTCAGTGTGAAGCCATTCCCCCTTGTCCTGGCACTTCAAGCCCTTGTCCAAAGTCCTTCTCCAGCTCTCTTGGAGCCCCTTTAGGCACTGGTAGGTGTTATAAGGTCTCCCCAGAGCCGTCTCTTCTCCAGGCTGAAACCCCCAGCTCTCTCAGCCTGTCTTCATAATTTTGGGTTTCATGTCCAGATGCTTTATGGTATTGCTGGGATTCTTCAGTAACTTATAGATAAATCCAAAGGTTATCTGTGTTGGTTAGATAAAAAACTTGGAGTTGTTTACAGTTAAGTCTTTAAAATCTTGTTTAAAAAAAGGCATTTTTTAATGGAAACAAAAGCATTGCTACATGTGGTGGATAAATCAGAATTATTTGATAATGTGAAGAACATAGTAAGAGCTCCTAGAACTTGAGGTTGTTGGCATCTTGTGGTCTGCACAGACATAACCCCACAGCTCCAGGTGAACCCCACAGGGTCAGTGTTGTTACTTGTTTGGGTATTTTCGTTGATAACCCTCTGCCTGTCAGTTTTTCCCAAAATTTGTAAGTAGAAGGATTAGTTGGCGATTAAGATATTTCATAAAAATTGGTAACAAAGGATCTTTACATTCTTGAGTACAATTAAAATGTGTTCCATTTCTTCTGGTTGTGTTCCATTTCTTCTAATGGATCCCTAACGTGTCAGGGAACAGAATAATGATATTTAATGGTATTTTTCCAGCTATTTCACTGAAGGCTGATTTACCTGCCAATAAAAACTATACCAGAATCTCAGTGGACTCCCTAATTATGCTGTCCCTGAGCTTTGCTGATGGGAATTTTGCTAAGCTGAAAGTAAGGACTAAGTTCTGCTAATGGGACCACTTGTAAATCCATCAGTGATCCAGTGTTAATTAGACTCCCCGAATACTTTTCATCTTAAAATGGAAGCAACAGGAAGTATGGCAATAAAATTAATGCATTTCCTTGCAGTGAAATTCAATCCATTTATTTAATAATGCAACAGATAATATCTTCCCCCGTTAATGAAAAATTTGGCAACCTTTGTGTAACCTTAGCATTACTTTTGTTGGGCAGAAGCGAACAGTGACATCTCCTGGTAGATGAAAGAAATTATGTTCTTTCCCTTTAATCCTTTCCTTAAACTACAAAGCACAGCTGAAGACAAGCAACATTTATCCATGGAAAGGTAATTTGTCAATTACAGAAGTGGAAGTATTAGCAGGGCACAACTTTGTGCAATATTCTGGGGAACCTCCTCCTGAAGTGCTCAGCAATTCAGGATAAGGTCACTGATTAGAGAAGTAAATTATATTGATAGATTTGAGGAGATTTAGATTGGATATGAGAAGAAATCCTTCCCTGTGAGGGTGGTGAGGCCCTGGCACAGGCTGCCAAGAGAAGCTGTGCCTGCCCCATCCCTGGAAGTGTCCAAGGCCAAGTTGGATAGGGGTTGGAGCAACCTGGTCTAGTGGAAGGTGTCCCTGCCCATGGCAGGGGTTGGAACTGCATGGACTTTACAGTTCCTTCCAACCCAAATCATACTCTGCTTCCATGATACTGAAAGCAGGTGAGGACCTTGGATTTTCTGCTTCAGTTTTTGGTGTTGCAAAGTTTCCAGCTCTGCTCGGCAGCTTTCCTCGTCTTTTCCAAGTTTTTCTAACTCCGCACTGCTATGACTAATGGCTCGAGGCACTGGGGTTGTGTCCTTGTTTTGATTTGGTTTTTCCCACCTCCCAGCAAAGGAACTCTGCTCACTCCTCTGCCGTGTTGTTCCAGGCTTTTTGGCCAGGACGGGCTCTGCGCCTCCTGCGACAAGCGAATCCGGGCCTACGAGATGACCATGAGGGTGAAGGACAAGGTGTATCACCTGGAATGCTTCAAATGCGCTGCCTGCCAGAAACACTTCTGTGTTGGGGACAGATATCTCCTCATCAACTCGGACATAGTGTGTGAACAGGACATCTACGAGTGGACTAAGATCAATGGGATGATCTAGCAAGGACGTGTCTCAGAGTCTGTCACAGACATCTCACGGGCGATGCCGGTGCCCGGCTGCAGTGAGGAGATGACAATGGAGCTGTGGAATTTAAAATGGGGGGAAACACCACAGAGTCGGCCCTTTGCAGGCAGTGCCACGTAGAATGTAAACTACACATAGGTGAAGGAGGGAGAGCAAAGCAATAGTAGATAGACTGACTTGTGGTGACCACATGGACAGTAACTGACATCAGCCACGGGGACAAACACAACTCCATAACCAATTCTCCCAACTGGGAAAGAGTAGGGACTTCTGTAAAGAGATGTTATGATGTCATCACCTGCAGACTAGGATTGTGCAATTAAATTTTCTTTTTGTCTTGTTTTAATTAATTAAGTTTAGACTACAGCTCCCAAATTAGGTGTGAGGAGGAATACTGGAAGAAAAGAACCATCCCTGACGTGGTCATTCCACATGGCCTTCCACTTTGGATGGGAAAGAAAGCAGGAAGAGAGTGGGGGTTATTTTTGCATGGATTTTTTGTTTTTCCTTTGGGAATGAACAGTGCATCCTCTAGTCCCAAACTCTTCTTTTAAAAAATCCTGCTGAATAGTTGTTTTCAGGCACTGCTGTTTTGAGATGAGATGTTCCCCAGATCATTTCTATACAAATATAAATCTAAAGAGTTGTTCAACTATTTTATTAACTTAGATTATATCAATAAAATATTCGTTGTGTGTAGTAAGACTCTGCAGCTTTAATAAAAATAATGGAAGAATTGAGTGTTGTTATTCCTTTTCTTTTTTTTTTTTGAGTTGGGCTGGATTTTTGGTTGTATTATTTATTTTCTTTTTGGGGCTCGGAGCAACCTGGTCTAGTGGAAGGTGTCCCTGCCCATGGCAGGGAGTTGGAACTGGGTGATCTTTGAGGTCCCTTCCAACCCAAACCATTCTACGATTCTGTGGTATCATATTTCCTCCAACTTGTTTTCTCTAGGATAAATAGTCTAAATTCCTTCTTGCATGAAAGCTGTTTCACACCTCTGACAATCTCTGTTTCTCATCTCTTTCTGTTTTTCTGGTTATATGTTACCCTTTTTGAGATAGGTGTCACTAGAACTGCAAGAACTGCTCAAATACACTAAAATTTAAAGCTTTTGACAGAACTGAACAAGTCCCATTCACTTAAAAGACGCTTAGCATGTCCATTCCCCCCATCAGAACTAACACATCAGGAATAACACCCATACCTATGGGTATCAATTTGATTATTTTCAATAAATTTGTCACTTAAGGGATCTCCCATCCAAGTGGCAGCACAGATCAATGACAACACTTTGCATTTTACAATGGATATTCTGAGAGCTCGTTTGATTTTTCTTGATTTTGTTGCCACAACAAGCGTTGGGGACAAAACTCTTAAATCTTATTACTAGTGAAAGTGGAAACTATACATAATGAAATCATTGAAAAGTACAGTTTGAGGACCCTGTGACTGAGCTCTTCTCCAGTGATATGCTGACCTCTGGAGGCCACAGGCAGCTAGTTGGAATTATAATTACCAGCCTAAATTCTTGCCACTAGAGGAAAGAAAGAGATGTGCAGGAGGAAAATTCAGCTATCAGCTCTCTTCATTCACAATGGCTCCTTGCAAATCTTAGATCCAGCTAGAAACAAAGTCTAAACTAATTAATTAATTAATTAATTAACATGGCTTGGTGCATGTACCCAGATGACAGGTTGGCATCTGCTGATAGTACTGACTGGTGAGGGGCAGTGGGAGATAAAATGAGCTTCCCTTCGACAAAGCAAGCCATGATTTGGCTTCTCAGAGTTGCTCTCAAGAGGTTTTGAGCTACATCCTGCTCTCCTGCAGCAAGATGGTACCAGTGACTCTAAAATCAGAGTTACACCAATATAACAACAGCACTGACATGGTCAGAATCAACAGGTATCAGTACAGGTAAGGGTTTTGACACTTTTTCCCTAAACCCTTCCCAGCATCATTTCTAACCTTACTAGGTCATGCTGCAGAGCTGATTTTCATGATTCCACCTCACAAAGAGGTTTAACCAAAAATTTCCTAATGCAAATATGCTCATTTTGTGTAAGGTGTAGTTCAAACAGCAAAATACATTTTTTTAAACCTAAATGAATGTATTTGTAAAGCAAGGATGTTGAAGGGTCCACAGTGCGTATCCTTATTTTGTTATAAGACCACCAGTGTGATGCAGTCTATGTAACCTCAGAAAGCTTAGGCTGAACTGGAAAGAAGAAGAGCCTCCTCTTGAGCAGTAACATTGCTCTGACTGTATAATTATATCTGTCTGCTGGTGGACTTTTCCCTAGCAGGTTCCCAACTCTTGCTCTTCGAATCCAGGAGGAGAGAGAGAGCAGATTTCTCCTGGAATTAGTGTAACCAACGCTTCACCTCTGTCCTCACTTCAGTTATGCTCCTTAGAGTAAGGAACTGGAATCACAAGAAGATAAAATATTCGAAAAACCACAGCAAAAATAAAAGCAAAGATGACTTGAACTCATGAGCAAAAAACACAAAAATCTGACTATGACTTCATTGCTGATATTCAAATGCACCATCCTTCCTGTGTTTTCACTATCAGCAGTATTTTAAAAGGCGTATCATCTGTCAAGATTTCCCTTCTTTGTCCCTATTATTCAATGTCATGGTAGGAAGATGGGAGCATTACCATCCATATCACTTTTTTAATTCCCTGCCCTTGAATAAGGGCAATAAGAGCCCTGTATAATGGAGTTTTCAGGGGAGAGAGTAAATGGGAATTGGTTGTTAATTCAATACAGGATCCAGAAGCTGTCTCTCCCCTCTCTTTTCTCAAGGTAATACTCTGCCTCCAATTGTCATTATACCCAAGAATCAAATTATTTGAATTCTGGACACATCAGCACAAAACCCAAGACTCCCTGCCAATTTTGTAGCTGCCTTGGAAGAGAACATCAGAGAGCATCACTCATTTATACGACTGCCAGCCCCAGACTGTAAATTCAGAAAACAAGAAGGCCTCAGGTGCCGCACTTTAACAGGTCTTTCTGCTCCTGAATCACCCCCACCTTAACACCCCTATCACACACAAGGTAACATTTTATCTCCGAAAGGCAAAGCTTTCAAGCATCTGCCAGGGTGAGCATCCGCTTTGTGTGGCCTGGGTGTGAATTGAAAATGAGACTGTTAAGTTTATTAATTGGTATCAGTGGCTTAAGGCTTTGGAAGGAGATTCATGACATATGGGAAAATAATCTATAAAGATTTTTGTTGCTCTGAAAAGACAGTGCAGCATCAGCTTATTTCACTTGCAGCAGGTTCATCTCTTTTATAGAGCATATACTGCACTGCAGGCAAAGAGAATTTTAATGGGCATTGAAAAAAATTATCTATTCCTCTGTCCCACAACAACTGAAAAAAAAAACATAAAAAGACACAGAACAGAGAGATTGAGATATGATATCACAAAACATTTAAGGAACTATAATTAAATTAGGATTCAGAAGTCTATCAATAGGATGAAGATTAAACTGGCTAAAAGTTGAACAGTGTTTGAAGCAAGTTGTTCCCTCCTGCTGTGGGTCGCTTTGTACCAGGCTAATGAGAAGGCACATCTTGGAAAGGTCTCTAATACATCAGCTGATCTCTGATGGTTAATTAAACATAGTTTGCAGGAGTATACACCATGTTCCATTTTCAAGTGCCTTGCAAGCAGTAATCACTCAACAGCCTCTGCAGACATTTACACTTGAGTGGTAAAAAGTCATGAACTTCTGCTAAAATAAACACATTTGGTGACATCTCTGGTGTATTCTTCACACACAGAGCTTGACCCACCATTTCACTCTGCGTAGAAATACTCAAGCAACTCTTGAAGCCCCTGTGTTCTTCACCCACAGCAAAGGGATGATCAAAAAGCTCCTGTTAAACTGCTTCTCTATTAAAAAGTGAATTTTCAAATATTTAATTTTTTGCAGGGCGAAAAGCAGATAATGCATGAAAAATTTAGATTTTTTGAAAAGATTTTCAGAGTAGAGATATTTCTTTTTTAATGAAAAACTTGAATACACCTTTTGCTAAGTGCTCTGTGATCACCTCTGCTCTCTGTCTGGCATATTCTGGTTATATTTATACATTGATGTAAGACAGCAAAGCTATAACCAAAGGTGAATGGACTGCACTGATTTCTGTTGAGATGCTGGAACTGGAGGGGTAGCAAGAAGGAATGCTGTAACAGGAGTGACTAGAGCGATGGAAAGCTGTTGCTTTGTGGTGTTGAGAGAGGAATAACCTTTTAAAGCCATGACCAAGAGAACTAACCCCTTTTTTTAGTCCAATGTGCCAGCTACCTTTCATATGATTCCTGAGATGTTTCCTCATCACAGGGCTGTAACTTCTTGGCTTGGTTGGTAAAAGCTCACAGAGGTTTGGTTTTCTCCTCTCCTCAGGTGTGTGTCTCATCTCAAACAACTTTACCAATGTATTTCAGGACAGCTGTGAAGTAGTTTTGAGCTAGAGATGCTTTACTTATTTATTTACATTTTAAAGAGACAATCACAATAAAGCTGAAATTCTTCTCCAATAAGACACATAGTCTTCAGTCTGACCATATCCTGACAGCATCTTGACAGCTACCCAAAGCAGTGCTTATCATGTTAATATCTCAATAAAAAAGACCTAAGGCCTGCAATCATCAACCTAAATACGCTTTGTAACACTGAGAAACTCTTGGTCAGTCCAAGATAATGCTCTATCATCACGTGGTTGTGATTTCTTGCAGTCCAGAGCTGTGAGCAAGCTCAAAATGAGCTGTGATGCAGTTGCCCTGGAATTCTTGGAGTTGGACTAGCAGCTTGTTTGACCCACCATGCACGAGAAGCGTGTTGTTCAGCTGATAAGAGAACTGAGAACGTGCATCAGCAAATATGGTTTGTTTATCCCATAACAACTGTTTTTGAGTAGGACGAGCAGAGAGAGGCCAGGTCTGCACTACACAGATAAGAGCTCGGACCAAAAGGACGACCAAAGGTTGCACCAGGCTTCCTGGAAGCTTCAAAAGAGAAACTTTCGGTGGGAATGGATGACTAAGGGAATTGCAAAGGGCTTCTGGAGGCTTTTATCTGTGTGCTGCCTCTTCAAATCCAGCTCAGCACTTCACACATTTGTTGTTGCCATGCTCTGATGAATGAGTGCACTCTGGGTTCAGGTGTTCATAACCAAAAAACCCACCACTGCAGCCTCATCTAGCTGCCCTCCTCGATAACAATCTCAGCTAATGACCTAAAGAGAGTGTGTGGAGCTGAAGAGTGAGCTGCTGTCTGCTTCATACAGATGTGGGTTTTTTTTAGTTCAGGAAGCAGTTTTCTCTGGGCATGCCTCATTATTCTCCATGTTCCTCAGGTAAAGAAACACCTCCTGAGCTCCCATACAAAACAACCAAGGTTTCAGCACTTTCCACAGGATCATGAAATATTCCTCCAACCCTTGCTTTTGCTGGAGTCTTTCAAACATCAGGAATCAGGAATCAGGAATCACACACAGTGAAAATGCTGGAAGTGCATGAAATTAGGAATATTCCTGAGGCTTTATTACTGCCCTTTTGGACCAAGTTAAGATTGAAATTAGCAATCTTGGTCTCCTGTGGATGTTGTCAATGTTAGTCTCTGTCAGTGTTAATCAAGCACACACAACTATGCACAAAACCTGAACACAGGTAGCAGTGCTGCTGACCTTTGATGAAGTACCTCTGATTATCCACTGAG